CTTCACAACCGTCCCGCCTGTGATATTCGACGGATACAGAAACACATCCATTGTGTGAGTATACCGTGTCCATGTACAATGTTTTGAGTGATGCGGTACATTTCAACAACAAAATGTGAAGAAAGTGACTTTACTCCAAACGTAGGAACTCTCCCTGCCTCCGCTTCCCATCGAACCTTCCACTCAGCCTACCAGTAACCTGCATTGGCTGCAAAAAGCACCACTTCCTGCTCAATACACAGTGTTTCGGGGCATTCACAGTGCTGCCAAATAATTTTCGCCCAAAATCGGACACCCTTCACCGCCAAGGCTGGCCACATAGTGCGAATTTTTCTCCTCGGCAATTTTTTTTACAGAGAATTCAAAATATCGCCTAAAACACCATGAAAATTCGCTTCGTTGCCATGGTAACCCCGGAGTTGTCATGAATTTTGTAATGATGAGTGTGGTCGCACACTGACTCTGTGCAGACCGTCAGCGTACATGCCATCCAGCCTGATCCAGGCATGTTACTTTGCACTTCCACAGCCAAGCGCTAGCCTTTTAGAACCAAATGTACAGTGATTTGTGCCTTCAGTTGCGCTGAAAAGTGAAAGTACAGGACTTCTGCATAGGAAAGTAATGATCTCCGACATTTTGGCTGCTTTTCGGACGTTTCCCTTTTCGGACCGGTTTTCGGAAGAGCCTTCAAAAATCGGACACTGTCCGAAAAATCGGACGGTTTGGCAGCACTGCATTCATCCCTCATCAGTTGAGCTTGAGTAGGCTTATGCAATCTGTGCGCCGAGAGCACGGGCTTTATGTAGTGATCTCTCGGCCGCACCAATGTCGAATACCTTCCGACGCCCCTGTAGGAGGCTGACCACCCCCCCCCCCCCCTCCCCCTCCTATACACCCGACAGCACTGTATACTGACTTAGCCTGCATATGCGGTTTCGCTGACTCACCGTGTATACTTAGCTCCCATAAGCGGTTCCGCTTGTTCACCACTATGACATCATCATCTATGACATCATCATCTATGACATCATCATTTGCATGCTGTGTGACCTAGTCTATAGACACAGACTACAACAGGATTTGCACTGCATGCATCTGCATGCACGGACAGTCATGCGTGGCGACAATGTTATCGCAGGAGATGTTTGTCAAGACTGGTGCCGTGGTGGTGCTAGTGGACATTATAGCGTAACTTGTAGTTCCTTGGTCTTTTTTCTGTACTATAAATAATTAAAAAAAAAGTATTGGCTCTCCATCTGAGTCTAAGGGTGCGTTCAAATCCTCTCGGAAAAGTTGGAGACTCTACGAAAAGTTCGAGAGCTGTTCTTATATCCTCTCCGACTTTTAGGAGGCTCTCCAAAGCTCTCCAAGCTTCAGAGGTGGTTGAAACTTGGAGATTCCCGCGGTTTGGGATCAGCGCATGCAAACTACGACTAAAAGCCTCGTGTTCATCATGAGTGTACGCATTTCCCTTTTCGCATACGCACATACATTCATCAGTCAAGATCGCGGCCCCTTTGACGCTTCATTTTGCTTGACATGTGCAAAATATCTCCGAATTCTTCGAGACCCGTTCTTGAGTAATCCCAGTTTCTTCGACTTCTCTTTTCTTCTTCTTCTAGAAGCTAGAGAATATAAGAACGCACCCTAAGTCTCAACTCCCTAAACTAATGAGTGTAAAATCACAGTATCAGGTTTAAAATCTAATGGTTGTGAGAACTTGTGACATGTACAATTGAAAGTAAAGTACTTATAATCTGGCTAGGGTTGGTTGATACAGTGGCACTTTGCCACTTCAGGTGTTCTGGCGCCACGGCTGTTTGTGCCGGTAAATAGACAATGTAGCACTATGCCAGCACACCTGTCTGGCGCCGGACATCCTGCACATGCATGCATATGGTATTACAATAGCCAGAGTTCCCAGATTGCCTAGAGTGCTCAACACCACAAGGATCATTGGAGCATTACCACAAAGGCAGAAGAGAACAGAGACAGTCTGAGGATTGCCTTAGCTTTGCTATGTGCATGAAACGCAGCGTTACAACAATGACCTAGCCGGCTGTCTCTGTTCTCTTCTGCCTTTGTGTAGAGTAGACGGTTCGATACTGGAACGCTTTGACAGCCAAATTTGTATAGACCCAAACCGATCATCAGCGTTGATTTTTCACTCGAAATATGTTTGTGGAAGGAAACTGGCATGTTGAAGTTTGCTCTGGGGCCAGAGTCAATCGAACTGAGTCACTCCTTTGTGTTGACCCATTGCCTCCAAGTTGCCCAATTTTTCGCTTCAAAAAAGTTCAAATCAGAGGTGGCTCCAAACCAGACACGTTTTAGAGTGCACGTCAAATTCACTCTGGGTCTGAAACTAGGTAATTGCTATCGCTCCACGACGGCCAGTACAGAGTAACAATAAGCCTTGTGTGTTCTTCCATTAGTTTTGATTGGGATGCGGTGCTTTATTGGCGAGAGGCGAGCCGCTGTTTACCTGCGACAAGAAGTT